AGGTATGTATATATATAGTGATATTTTTTTCTTATTAGTCTGTTTAAAAAATAACTTTTATATATATATATATATATATATATTTAGTGATAATTTAACTAAAAATTTTTATTTACTTTTAATAAAATAATTTATAATTACACAGATATTTATAATTTATTTGATACCATAAATTTCAAAACTCATTTTTACCTAATCAAATCCTAATGCCTATTTATCCGTCTTCATTGTGGCCCTAACCTTCTTAGGTAAGAAAACTACCACCATCAGCGATGAATTCTTTTTTCGTTCTTAAATTTTATGTGAAATCAAACATCTTTGTGTATACGAACGTAGGTGGTTTGAAGATTATAGATTGGACCAACTCGGACTTGCAGAACGATATATACATGCTAGTTACTTATTTGGTGTTACTGTTATCCCCGAGCCTGAATTATCCGATGCTCGCCTCATGTACGCGAAATACGTCATGCTCCTGACTATTGTCGATGATCATTTCGAGAGTTTTGCATCTAAAGATGAATGTTTCAACATCATTGAATTAGTAGAAAGGTATTTCTTATGTACTTATTCGAGTTTACTTAGTTTTAGTTTGACTTATAAGCATTTTTTGAGCTTATTTATGTTTTTGGTAATTAATTAAGCACAAAAATACTTACAAATTAAGTGTTAAATGATTGTTATTTACAGGTGGGATGACTATGCAAGTGTAGGTTATAAATCTGAGAAGGTTAAAGTTTTTTTTTCTGTTTTCTATAAATCAATAGAGGAGCTTGCAACAATTGCTGAAATTAAACAAGGACGATCCGTCAAAAATCACCTTATTAATTTGGTAGGGGAATTATTCTATGACTTCCTTCTTTAATTTTATTTTTTATACTTATTAGTGTATTTAAAAAAGAATATTTTTTAGCGTCGTGTCTTACCATCATACAATTTTTATAGTGGCTTGAATTGATGAAGTTGATGTTGATGGAGCGAGTAGAGTGGTGTTCTGGCAAGACAATACCAAGCATAGAAGAGTACTTGTATGTTACATCTATAACATTTTGTGCAAAATTGATTCCTCTCTCAACACAATATTTTCTTGGAATAAAAATATCCAAAGATCTACTAGAAAGTGATGAAATATGTGGCCTATGGAATTGTAGCGGTAGAGTGATGCGAATCCTTAATGATTTACAAGATTCCAAGGTAACAACTCTTGTATTCTTTTAATATTAATTTTCATCATGTGATATTGGATAAGCATCATCATATAATTATATTATATAATAAAATAGAACTTATCAATTGTACATATAGGGTGTGTTTGGGTATGAAAATTTTAATTTCTTATTTTTTATACTAAATATATAATATTATCTAAAAAAAATTATTTGTATTTCGTTTAGAGAAATTTGTTGGGGCTTGTAGGGTGGTGGGGATGATGGTTAGGAGTGGTGTAAAGACAACGAGATTGTGGGAGGATAGAAAAAAGATAATTAATCAATGTAAAAATATATTTTTCGAAAGTCACTGGTAAAAATAATCAACTTGTGTCAATCATGCCTATGGTACAAAATCTTAGACTACTGAGTGATTTTAAAATTTTTAAATTTATAGATTCTGAAATCACGTATCTTATTAATTCCAACATGTTTTGCTACAGAGAGAACAAAAGGAGGTCTCAATAAATTTAGTCACATTACTAATGAAAAGTATGTCTGAGGAAGAAGCTATAATGAAGATAAAGGAAATCTTGGAAATGAATAGAAGAGAGTTATTGAAAATGGTTTTAGTTCAAAAAAAGGGAAGCCAATTGCCTCAATTATGCAAAGATATATTTTGGAGGACAAGCAAATGGGCTCATTTCACTTATTCACAAACTGATGGATATAGAATTGCAGAGGAAATGAAGAATCACATTGATGAAGTCTTTTACAAACCACTCAATCATTAATCCCTTATTTTGAATTTATGACTTTTGTTCTTTCCTTCTATATTCCAACTAATAAACTTGTTCGCGCGAATCCAGATAATAAAAAACCTCTATAAACCTGTGGTTTAATCTTTTATCTAATACCTTAATATTATAAAAATATATATATATCTCTTTATTTTTTGTTCAAAAATATAATACAAACGTATACGAGTCTATCTTTAATTTTGAAAACGAAACCCCTAGCTTTGCTTTTCTTGCAGTTCAAGCCTATATACTTAGTTACTTACAATGAAAGATTCAAACCATAAGAATAGAGTTGCGAGATGTTACAAATATATATAGTACTTGTTGTGCGGAATTTGAGATAATACGAGAAAATATAAACGCGAAAAACAAGACAACAGATTTACGTGGTTCACCAATAAATTGGCTACGTCCACGGGAAGAGAGAGAGCAGTTTTATTATAGAGAGGCAAAAACAGAATTACAGAATAGGGTTTGACATAGCGTCTATATATAGTGCTAAGCTACGCCGATTCAAGGCATTCAAC